GATCAAAGGAATCAACGTCCGCGGCTAAGGCCGAACGTCAGGGACAATTTGGCGCGGTTTTCAACCTAGGCATTCAGACGAAGTGCTTTTCCAGGTAGTGCCTTTGAGGCACTCGCCCGAAGTGCTCTGAAAAGCACTATAACAGTTGACCTCAGTGTGAGTGCCTTTTTTGCATAAATAGTGCTTGAGCACTCACATGTAGTGCTTTTACTTTCCACAGCATGCAGAAGGCGCAGGACGAAGGAGCGCTGGTGGTGCAGATGTCGAAGGTTTCGTTCACATCAAGCACACCTGGTTCGGGGTATTAGAACACAACCACCATTAGTTTGTATATATGGAATACCAAAAAGGGCACTTCTGCTGGGGTGCGCCTGCCAGCTCAGATTGTTCACAGGGTTCCGAAAGGGGAGAAAAAATGGAACCGAATAAGCCTATATATAAAAGAAGGAGCATCGAGAGAATCGAACCTGCACGAGGCTCGAAGAAAAGATTACGAGAGCAAAACACAGCCACTATAAATTCACAAAGAATGAAGGAAATTTAAAGGACAGCCACTAAAAGCACCTCAACACAGCCACTACATTCTATAGCACAGCCGCTATTTTTTTTACAAACTTAGATTGGGACACTTTTTAACTAGACCTCAAAAACCTCATTTCGATTGATCAAAAACGATTACATAAGTACTCGTAACGGCACCTTCAGCCCATGTTTCCAATGCATGGTGCATTTCCAAGTGCACTCTGTAGAAGTAGTAAGGCACCCTACTTTTGGAACTGTCTGGTGCTTGCTCCGAGTTCCAATTGCACCAGGCTTTTCCAAGTGCACTACGAGTTTTCCATTTATCTGGCGCTCGTTCCAAGTTCCCGTGATGTTTCCATAACATGATACTTGTTCCAAGGTCCTCTGCTTTAAAAAAAATGGAAATGTACGTGTAACTCCGAGTATGTGGTGCTTGTTCCAAGTGCAGGCTTTTTTCTAAGTGTGGGGGTGCCCCTTTCCTCAAATATTGATACTTATTTTTATCAAGTGTTTGATGCTTGTTCCAGGGGGCATTTTGGCAAGAACTCGCAGCACCGGAGATCTAGGATAAAGCCATGTTGTATAATTTTTGGAGGGGAAGAAGACAAGGGCTGAAACTATCAAGGAAAGTAGTGTGCTATTTGGACTACTCGAGAACCTAATTGCTACCTTCACCTTCTACGCCAGACTGTGCATTCTGTCAGGCGCAGGAAGAGGTGTACGCGAGATGTACTACGGTCAAATGGAAATGCCAGCGACGTCCGCTATATCCGCGAGCGCCGTCCCTATCGCGAAATTATATATGTATGAATCGCACGTCTTAGTGGCTTGCCCCCCGTAAAGCCCGACCTTGGGCTCCGTGGTCCCGGGGAAGAAGTTGCCCGAGTACTTCTGCGTATGTTCACCGGTGGCTGGATTGATCATGGTCGACAGCTTGCCGTTGAAGTAGAGCTGCAGAAATCCGCTCGTCGCGGATGTGTTTATGACGATGCCGAAGCGGTAGGCGGTGCCATGTGTGAGCTCTTTGGTCCAGAGTGTCTTTTGGCTCATGTTTTGATCTGCGGACGGATCTGCCTCTGCGGCAAAGTCACTGAAAATTCAATCGTTCAGCGTGAGATTCCTGGGTGTGTGAGGAATAGGGAGGCCACGAGGAAAACTCACATAATATATTGATCGGCGGTTGAACCTTGTCGGAAGAGAAGTGAAACAGGGATGTCGTCGGTATCGACAGTATCGGGATTATAATTCTTCCTGCAAGAGCCGTCATGAGTAGTTCGAGAATGTGACAATTGGCAACGGCGTACCACTGGAATACGATGGGGCAGCTCTGGTAGTCCACACCGGCGCCGAAGGAAACATGGTACCCGATATAATAAGTCTGATCCGCGGCAGTTTGGCCCACCAGCATATAGTACTCGGAGCGCGCAAAGTGCGCGTTCTTATGAACGTGGGCGGCAGGGACTCCATCGGGGTCAGTTGCGGTCGTGAAGAACGCGGATGAATTTTGTGCCTGGCCCTTCGGCCACGCCACGCCGCCCCATCCCTCCAAATTCTGCCTGCCAAGGACACTCGCAGCGTCTCCAGCTGCGGCGTCGTAGCTGAGAAGGAGTTTCGCAGAAGCGAAAGGGAGTAGGCTGAAGAGAAGGATTCGCATCGTGCGGTAAGAGTTTAAGCTAAGAGGGGCGACTTGGCGCTAACGCGACATCCTGGCTGCTTTTTATCCGCTGGACGCGAGTACGGCATTAACTAATCAAGGGCGGGACACGCAGAGTTAAGCGCTGTAGTGGCTCTAATATCCGGGTCTCCAAACCGTCGTACACTCACTCTGGTAGCCCCTCTTGGAATTCGGCGCTGTGGAATTCACGGCGGGAGTAACTCTCCGTAGAACCGGGAGCAACCGCCGCGCACATTTCGGTTTGGAATGAATTTATCCGAACCGGTCGGTCAGGACCCCGTGTTCACCAGTACAACTTGAAGTAGTGTTCATCCAAAGAGTGATCTCAATTGCTGGTGTTGGTGTTGAGGTGGCATGCATTGCCTCTTTCCCCAAGACCGAGTCTCAATTCAATTCAACCCCGATTGCCAGTCAGCTTGTTATAATTTGCGTCACATTACATACGGAGCTTCAAGTGCTCCGCCCCCGCAGTGCCCCCACAGTTTTACTAAATGCCAAGAACATGGGTAGAACTCCATCTTGAAGGCGCTTATTCACTCTTGTTCACCGAAAATTCTGGCGAGATTACGATGCCCAGTGGTCTGGGATGAACATCGCCTTCAACATTCATAAGGCCCTCCGGGCAGTCCTGTAACCTCCACGTTTCAGAAACTGTGTATATATCCTGTCCTGCACTTGAAATGTACCATCCTAGTACTCCCCTGTCGTAAGTAAATGGTACCTGTTCAGCCCTACTCCGTCTTCACTCTTTTAGCAACTGGCCCTTCAATGTCCTCTGCATCTGCTGCCTCCGTTGTGCGCCGGCCGCTCTGTCGCAGGGGAGGACACGTCGGCTGCGGGGATTGCGGAAGTTCTGGAGATGCCTGCAGACACTTCAAGGGCGGAGGGGTCAAGCCTGAGGGCAGGGTTTCTTCGAACTGCGTCGCAGCGATGAGAAAAGGAATGCGCTTTTTTAGAGGCCGAGTCCAGACTCAGTTCGGCAGTTGCCGTGGCAAGCCGTTTGTGAAAGATCGTAAAAGGAAGGAGTCTAGACTCAGGTCGGGAGTTGCCGGGGCAAGGTGAGAAAAGGCTCTGATGTTTTTAGGAGGTCAGAAAAGGAAAGAGTCCAGGCTCGTCTCGGGAGTTGCCGGGGCAAAATGAGAAAAGCAAAGCTGTTTTTAGAAGGCCGGAACGGGAAGGAGTCTAAACTCAGGGTCTCGGAACTTGCCAGACGTGATGTGAGAATTACAGAGAGGGAAATCCGGAAGATGCCGGGATGATCGGAGATTGGATTAGCTGATTGTAGACCTGTTTCCCTAAATCGGTTACAGGAAAAGTCAGACAGGTTCACCCTCTTTGTTTTGGCGCTCTTGCTCTCGCATCCAAAGTTGCAACGGCATGATACATATGTTACCCTAGATCAATCTACGCGGCGTCTACCCGGGACTGCCGCATGTCCAGCGGATAACGGTCTTTGTATATATAGCACATTGTGATTAGAGACGGGGCCCAAGAGGTGAGCGGATCATCGATCTAGCATACAGATCACCACACGTGCGATTCCCAAATCCGGATATAAATCCGAGATGCCGTTGATGTGGGATAGCAAAAATCAAGGTGTTGGGCATATTTCGTAGCCAGGAAGTGAATAGATGCATGAGGAATACTTATTAGCTGCTGCCGAAGGATATTTGGACGGTTAATGCTGCGCACGGCGCAGTCAATTTCGGAGTTAAGTCCTTATTTGGGGGGGAGGGGGGGGGCCTTTCACGTGTGGTGATCTGTATGCTAGATCAATGATCCGTTCACCTCTTGACGGGGCCGGATGCAGCCGGATGCATCCAGACGATACATCCGCTCACAGGCTGAGCCATATGAGGCTGTAGATCCGAGAATTGATTGTTTCGTGTTGACTTCGTGATGATTTCTCCAGAACCATTATGCGGGCGCCATGTGGCGCATATGATGCAGCGTCGCAGGGGCGGGCTCGGGTGGCAGTGCTGATACAATGATGGCGCAGGAGATCGGGCGGGAGTCATTTTCCTTTTTTCTTTTTGTGCGCATGCGGCTATTAGTATTCCGGCCCCTGGCTCCTAGCTTCCGGCTGATGCGTCTGACGCGCAGGGGGCTTGCACGCATTCGGCGGACGAGGTCAGGTCAGTCTGGCTGCGAGTATGAATTTGAGTTGGGTGGGCGAGGATTGGGATTCACGCCGCGAGGGTGCCGATGGCTCTCTCGAGTGCAGGAGCGGTCTAGTGTGCTACGGACTCGCACTCGCATTCGCGGGCGATTGTGCTGCGTTGGCGCGTTTTCGCCGCCGTTGGTTATGCTGCCCCATGCACACACCCTTCGTCTTCCTCTCTACCGCCCTCGTTACCCTTCCCCCGTTCCTCTGTGCGCGACTGCGTGAGAAATAGGCGAGCCGGGTGGTACATGTAGATGTTTTCCCCGCGGAATATTCATATTTTGGTTCGGAGTTAACGTCGAACGTCGAATGCTGAACGAGATCAAATGCATTGATACGTTCCCCAAGAGCTCCGACGCGTACGGATTTGGGTCTGGGTTTCGGCTCTCAACCGCAGAAGCGCTGCGAACTCGGATTCGCACCCTTTTTTGGCGTGTGTGCGTCATTTCTTTCCGTCCTTCCCCGCTCCTTCCCCCTCCGGAATTTCGCGACTGAGAGCCGGATTGTACAATATATATACTCCTTCCCCGCGGATGGGTCGGAGTTGCACTTTGAATGTCACGGTTGACCGAGATCAAATGCGCTTGGCAAGTCCTCCAAGCACTTGTCTACATATTGGAGTGAAAGAAAGATTTACAAGGTCCGGTGGCGGATGGTCCGCCTCTGCACTGAATCTGCAGAAAGATACAGATTTGCGCGCAGAAGTCGCTCGTTCGATTCGAGCCCGGGCCATGAGAGAATGAAGTCGCTGTTCTTTTGTTCGGGCCAGCAGCGAGCTGATTTATCTCGCAGCGAACGACGGTCAGGCGATTGAACCGCCCTGCCTCTTTCACCGGATGCAATATAAACTCGGTAGACAACTGCAGATTGTAAGTATCGGCTCAATGGCGGAGGGTCCGAGGCCAGTTCCGAAGCCGTTCAAGGAACCGTCGGTTCGAATCCGGCTCGAGTCATGCTATGAGACCACCCAATCTTTATTCACCGCAAAACTCTTATTGATTGAATCGAGCAGCGTCGAATGAAGCGGCCGAACCTACACAAAGAATTACACCCTGGCCCCAACACTTGCATCCCCTCAACACACCGTTCTCAGACATACACCTGGATCCCCTATAAATACATCGAACCAGTGCAAGATGGAATAGAATGAGTCGAAGCCGGAAGGTCTTATTCGGCGTGAACCAAGCAAGAATTCCTCGGCCGCACATGCCGGTTCAACTCCGGCTTCTCTCACTGCTGTAGGTCTTTTTGGTTTGATATTCGAGGAACAGCTCATTTTTCCAGGTGGCAACTCCTGATTATATCGATGCGATGCCGGAGGGTCTGCGCCTGCTTCCAGCAGAATCTGAAACAAAAGACTCGTTCAATTCAAACCTGAGCCACTTTATCTGCTGTGTTTGGCATTTTTTCAGTATCTCAGCGGCGCGAGTCAGAAGAGGGTAACAGGTGTCACTGCAGCACATTTTTTAGCAGAGTCACTGCGTTCAGCGGGTCTGTAAACACGGTTTGCGTTTAGGCGGCTACGCGGGAGCCGGTGGGCCTAAACAGCCATGTATGTTTAGATCAACTCCGCGCCACATGGCCACACAGGTCTAGGCGGGCTGATCGGGCTAGACCCATATCAACCCATGCTGTCTATTTCGGCCATGCGCGCCGCTTGCACTGGTGCCCTTTTTACTTCAGATTGTTGACAGTATACTAGCAACAATTCATACAACTCAATTATACATCCACATGGGGGTTCAGGAAGAGAGAGCAGCACAAGGCTGGCACAACCATTGCCATTGGAGTGCACATCACCACAAAATCACTAAGTTTAACTTAGTGGAAGCATAATAAGCGGACACGAGGACATCAGATTACATGTAAGGCAAACCCAGTGGGCACACTTCCCTACGAGAGCTCGAAGTGCTCGAAAGGGCGGCACCTCGACGCGAACACGGCAAAGCCGCCGAGGCAGAGGTAGACGCATCGGTCAAGGGCACTTACGCTGACCCTCGTTCGGCTAATCGAAGGCTGTTCTAGGCGGTGCCTAGGAGACCGAGATCCCACCAATCTAGCCCGGTAGACCAAAATAGACCGGGATCCGCGGCTGTGCATTCGGGTAGACGATGCCGTGTTTAGGGACCTGCTGAACGCAGTGAGTTTGAACTAATATATGAATTGGGCAGAGTACGTGCAGGGATCCTCCGCATACGTCCGAGTCGAAGGAAGCTAATCACGGCCCGGCAGCCAGATAATATCACCGCACAAAGTTGCGCATTCGAATGGAGCCCGAGTCATGACACAGCATCGTGGTCGATTTTTGGTATTGATCCGGCCGCTGGTGGGTCTCATCGAACCCTACTGCACAGAAAATTCGAGAGCCGCACCCTCGGGCGCCTGCCGAGGTTGAAGCGAGATCAACGTTCTCTGCACGAAAACCAAACTCTGATCTGAGTTGGGAGCTCAGAAGGTATGAGGGGCTGTGAAACGCACGGCTCGCTTCTGCAGGTGTGGGGATTGAGCAGAATTCCGTGCGTCCCCAGGAAATCATCTTTTTTTCTTCGTCTTTTGATGCAGCGGCCACGCGAGAGATTATAATAATTAACCCGCCATACTGACCGCTTAGGATCAAGCCCCTGGATATTTAAAATCCTAGTCACTACGTTCCCTGGGCCGGTCGGCACAGCCTGCCGACCTGGGCTGACGTACGCTGACTTCTGCCGATCAGGGTCGACAGGGCCTGCCGACATCAGATCGGCACAGTTGTGCCGATCTGGGCTGACACACTGCTGACCTCTGCGGAGGTCGGGTCGACATCCCCTGCCGACCTCTGCCCTTGCCCTCAAAACCACTTGCCAGACCCTGGCCCTTATATACTGCCCGCCCCTCACTCATCCGTGGTGGTGGATAGCCTCGTTGTGATGTACTAAGTATGAAATGATTTGCGAAACTTTAAACCTGATTTCGGAGACTTCTGTTGGCCGCGACCCCGGTCGGGCGGTCGTATACCCAATAATAGAACAATATTCCATATGGTGAAGGAGCATTGTACTGCACCATGAGAGTGCTTCGATGCTCTCTCTTTCGACCTCGATTAAGTCTACTTATAAGTTATACAATGCTCAGTGGTGGGCAAGTGCGCTCAAGTGGGGCGAGCTTGGCTTTGATCGGCCGACGGCAAAATGATGGGAAACCGAAGCACACTGATGCTCAAAACGGCAACGGGTAACCTACACACTCGAGGAGATGGCCGAATATGTAGGCAGACTATGCCCGGACGTCGGTATAGTCTGCCTACCTCCGGGTCCGCCGACCTCTGCCGACGCTGCTCGGCACAGGCTGTGCCGACAGGCCCAGGGAACGCAGCGAGTTGGAAGCCAAGGAAGAGGAAGAAGCTGCCCACCGGTCCACTAGTTCAACTGGCATTCATTGAGCCTAGCCAGTCCCGACCCATGCCGATCGGCCGAGTTCCCTCTCCTTGTGTAATCATGATGGCAGTCTTGCCGGATGAACTCTCGCCCCTCGCGCCGTACCGCGGCACCCATTCAATCACTTCTCAGTTGGAGGGACGCCTCCGCAAGTAGTATGCGCTGTCATGCTTAGATTCGAGCTCGGCTTCATGCTTTCTCCTTAAAAACATTACCCGCCAATTTATGGGCTTAGTTTCCACGGCGGGACTCTCAACTTAAGCCGTGCTGGGCGTCAGCCGAGTCAGCGAGTCCGCAAATGTCAAGACTCGAATGATAGAAGAGCCGTCTGCTGCCTCAGTTATCATGCATTCATTATACTAGTAGTAGCCGGTGTGAATCTCGTATCATGGGATTCGAAGAAGTTGCGCCATGTGATCTGACTGCGCAGGCCTTGACTTCAGACTTGACCACGATGACTCTCAGGACGTGCTGGCGGAAATTCCGATCGCGATTCAATCGCGCCGTAGGACAAGTTGTAAACAAGACACTCCTCATCCTCCGGCTCCCCCGCTCAGAGCGACGAACAGCCAGCATTCTCCCAATCGAGCTATGGGACTACATCATTCGAGCCGTCGAATGGGACGACTGGGACTCGGATTTACATTCCGTCGCCCTTGTTTGCCGTGCCTCCCTCCTCATCTCCCAATCTCTGCTCTTCAATACAGTCCATTTCAGCGAAGACACCTGCCTTCGTTTCACCTCTGTCGTCCAAAAATCGCCGCACCTGATTCGGCATATCCTACAGGAGTTGAAGCTCTGTTGCTTCCAACGGCCCACACCGGAAACGATCACCTCCGCCTAGGCGCTGATCCGCATCGAATCTGTTCGCCGTGTGGAAATATGGCGCTTGATACCCAACCCGGACATCCCTCCCTCTGTTCTACGTGGTGTCCCCAGATCTGCAAGAGCTCCAATTCCGTTGCAACGGCCCCGGCTGTGATACCCGCATCCACCACATTCCGCTGCCATGCCCGCGGCGCACGGTGATCTCCCACCTAGCGGTGACTTACGACTGCAGAGTCACTCAATGGGTCCCCGCAGTGCTACCGACATGTTTGATTTGACACATCTAATCGATGTTCAAATGTCGAACTCTCCGTTGGATGATCCCAATCTTGACCAGCTGCTAGATGCTGCGCGACCCCTGCGACTACGTTCTGCTACATTAGACTACATGACGTAGCCACATTACATCTACGTTCGGCTAAGTTCGGCTACTTTCGGCTACGTCCGGTAGACATATGGCACCCAGAGGTGTGAGTAGATTTTGGATTCGCGGCGGATTACGGCCAAATTGTGGCTAGTATATGTATGTCTACATATGTATACCTTGGTCTACGTGAGACTACATGTGGCTACCTAAGGTAGACACAGGTTGCGAGTGTAGCCACAAGTAGACACATGTAGGCCAGGTGGGTCTACACAATGTAGTCATATGCACCCATTGGGTAGACAAACATCTGGGGCTGCCCCTCTGTCTACACCAGTAGACACACCCTGTGACTATCGGGGGCCTCAACGCAGTGTGTGGTAAACGGCTGTCTTCAATACATTTGATTGGAGATGTCAGACAGCAGATCGGGTTTGACTCCCGACGCCCACATGCACCAGCCGTCGTTCATTTTTTTTAAGACTTGGATTTCTACCACCGGCAGGCAATTTGAATTTTGAATAAGTGCTTCACTTTGAACTCATCAAGAAATTCGAGAGACGTGTAGCAGGGCCGACCTTACTGCCGGACCGGTGGATTACGACTGCGCACGCTCGCAGATGCAAGGACGTTGAAGGGAGGGAGGAAGCGGATGTACACAGCTGTGCTCCGTCAAGCGGGTCAGAAATTGCAGACAGCAAAATCGGGTTTGACTCCTGGTGCCCGCATACAAAACACCGCATCTTTTTTTCATGGCTTTCATCGTTCGGTTCGGCGCCGCCGCTCAATATAAGTCTGGCAGATTACTAGGATGGATGGCCGAGTTGGTGGGGTGGGAAGTATTCTAGGACATGGTGCCTGCGCGCAGGCTAAATAAGAGCTAGTACACGGCGCCACCGTGTGAGTCCGGACAGCACGGCGCCGGCGTACGGTGATACGGAGTGAGGTTAATATACGGGTGCTCTTAACATACGGATGCTAAGAAACGATCGGTCTCGGGTTTGGGTGCGTGTGGGAGTGAACTTCTTCAGCTTGAACAGTCGTTAGAAAGCAATCCCAGCGGCGATCCTTGATCGCTGCTGCATTCTTTGGCCGAATTTTCTCCACCAATAGAACCCCGGATGCGG